TATAGACTGGTTGGTCCGGCACTTCTTGCAAGAACTTGTCCAAGCGCCTCTTGAATACATCCACCTTTGTTACGGGAATATTTTTAATGGTTGCTGGGAGGGTGTTGAACAGCTGTGGTCCTCTGATGTTCGGACAGTGTTCTCTGGTTGTGCCTATGGCACCTATACTCTTCACTGGTTCTATTCTGCATTTCTGCATTTCCTTCCGTACCTTTCGCTCCAGTATGTTGTTCTTCTACTTTGTAAATTTGGTACCTGGCCTTCAAGTATCTTTCATGAATATATTATTTGATACCTCTCTCGTCTTCTTTCCAAAGAGTACATTTTGAGAGCTTTGAGATTGTCCCAATAATTTAGATGTTTTATCGTGTCTATGCGTGCCGTATATGCTCTCTTCAGTCCCTCTAATTCAGAGATCTTTCCTGCTCTGAAAGGGGAAGTGAGTACCGAACAATACTCAAGACAGAACAGCACCAGTGATTTAAATAGTATTTGCATTGCTGTGGAGTCTCTGGATTATACGTTCTCCGTTCGTTGTCTTAATCCATCCTATCATTTTCCTGGCCGCCGCTATATTTGCTCGGTTATGTTCACTAAATGTCAGGTCGTCAGGCATCATAATTCCCAGGTCCTTTACATGTTGCGTTTCTTCTATGAGTAGGTCTGAGTGTGTCCTGTACCCTGTGTTTCGTTGTTGATGGTGGGAGAGGGAGAGAGAGAAGTGTTGATAATGGGTGAGGGAGACAGAGATTGGACGGTAGAGCAAGAGTCATGCAGGTCGGCGTTCAATTCCTGAGATCCTGAGAGGTTGGACACCATTCCTCCCTCCCCACCCCGCGTCCCATCCCAAATCCTTATCCTGACCCCTTCCCAGTGCTATATAGTCATATGCAGGCGATGAGTCACAATAACGTGGCTGAAGTATGTTGACCAGACCACACACTAGAAGTTGAAGGGACGACGACGTTTCGGTCTGTCCTGGACCATTCTCAAGTCGATTCATAATTCTCAAGTCTATATAGTGATAATTGCTTGACGCTCTCTTCTCATAGTTCCCTTCCCTTCCTCCAGCAGCAGGGAGGGGCCGCCGGAATCACAGGCAAAAGTCGGTATTTACAGCGAGTCCGAATTGCAAGGAATAGATGATGTACTCAAAGGTAAAGAATTAACGTGCATACAAACCACCCATGAGACAAGTACCTGATGTAAGCTGGTGATAAGATTGCCTAACGAGTGGGGGGGGGGGCAGTTTGAGGAGAGCATTATGTAGAAGGTTGACACCATAAGAATTCCTTGAACATTGAAGTCACTAAACTAAACTAAAGTCACTAAACATTGAAGCTCTAATTCTTGTGATACAGTGTACTCCTGCAACGTACTTACGTACTTACAAGATACAACGTACATACTGCACAACAGTACAGTATACAGTACATTATACTGGTCTATCTCCAACTGGTACTGTGAGGAGTACATTGTACTCACCAACAAAGATCATTTATTGCCTGAATCCACTCAATAAAACAGCTAAATAATTGCGATTGCTTAAACATTTTTAATCTGTATTCCCTACATAATAATTTACACTTGGAAAATATTAAAGGGACTGGTTCTAAATCTGCACACGAAAATAGCTCCTCAAGACACCAGGAGACATGGCAGGAAGTGCAAAATACCCCCGTTGAAAAGCACACTTGCAACACGTAATTTGGGAGAGAATTCAACCAGTATCAAGGGCCCAAGACTTTCACACTCGCCCTCTGCACATAAGAGGCGTATATGTTTATTTTTTTAATTTTGCCCCGAGGGGCGAGTTTATTGGGCAGCGCCACTCATCCTGTGAGTGGACACACCGCCGTAGCAGCATGTACAACACTCCCCAATAGGAAGAAAACCCGCTGGGTTGTTCTTCATAACTCGCCGACCTCTCACGGTGTTCAAGAGAGAACTTGATAAAAACACCTTCAAAGGATACCGTATCAACCAGTTGAGATTCAAATGTCAGGCTGCGAGTAGCAGCGTCTAACAGCCTGATTGACCTGACCACCAACCAGGAGGCCTAGTCAAAAAACTAAGGCCGCGGTGGCGCTCATCCGCAGGAAGAGGATAGAGGAATTATATCGTTGATTTAGTTTAAAAATAAAAATGTTCCCATCCTTTTCGCATTTCGTAAATAAAAGGCGAGATACTGATTGGGCGTATAAATATGTTTTTATTGCCTACATGGACCTAGCCTACTGTTACTGGCTAGGTTACTGGCTAGGTTACTGGTTACTGGCTAACGGTTACTGGCTAGGTTACTGGTTACTGGCTAACGGTTACTGGCTAGGTTACTGGTTACTGGCTAACGTGTGCGTTACTTGCCTACTGTTACCTAGCAGTAAAATAGGTACCTGGGTGTTAGTCAGCTGTCACGGGCTGCTTCCTGGGGGGTGGAGGCCTGGTCGAGGACCGGGCCGCGGGGACACTAAAAGCCCCGAAATCATCTCAAGATAACCTCAAGATGGACATTTGAGGCTCAGATTGGAGGTGTATTATGCGTAAATCTTGCAAGTGTTAATATTTTACCTTGAGAGTTTGTTCACGTCGAGAGCCGGTCGGCCGAGCGGACAGCACGCTGGACTTGTGATCCTGTGGTCCTGGGTTCGATCTCAGGCGCCGGCGAGAAACAATGGGCAGAGTTTCTTTCACCCTATGCCCCTGTTACCTAGCAGTAAAACAGGTACCTGGGTGTTAGTCAGCTGTCACGGGCTGCTTCCTGGGGGTGGAGGCCTGGTCGAGGACCGGGCCGCGGGGACACTAAAATGCCCCGAAATCATCTCAAGATAACCTCAAGATAACGTGAGACGTTCAGACCGGCTGTTCCAGGTACTTAACCTATACCGTTGAGAGGTTAAGTAATAATTGTAAATAAGAAGCAATAAGATGCTTATCTTAACATACTAAGAAGGTTAGGTGAGGTTGGTGTTTTCTATGAAGCTTTTCAAGGTAAACTAAAATATTCACAATCAATTAGTATGTTACATATGCACTTATTAAATAAGCCAATATTGACTGAAGGCAAGTGCGAGAACGGGTTGCAGAGTTAGAGGAGGACGGCTCTATGCTAGTTTTACTCTACCTCCTCTAGCTACGAGGCCGTGTTCACTTATGGGAGAAGTGTGAGGCGATAGTAGCCAGTAACGACAGTGACCTGTGAGGGACAGTGACCACAAAGAGCTGTGAGGGACAGTAACCAGACCCTGAGCTCTGATGTAACTCACGAAGCCACTATCTGGTCTGAGGTCGTAAATCAGATAGGCATCAGCTCCGCGCCCCACTCCCCCCCCCCCCCAAGATGCCCCGGTGATCCAGTAATATGCCAGAGATCCTGTACGAGAGCATCCTGGGGAGACATGATGTATGGACCCGTCAAGAGAGCAGGTAGGGGGCACTGTACCCTCCCCCAGCAGGTGTGGAGGGTACTTTACCCTCCCCCAGCAGATGTGGAGGGTACCTTACCCTCCCCAGCAGGTGTGGCAGGCACTGTACCCTCCCTCCAGCAGGTGTGGCAGGCACTGTACCCTCCCCGAGCAGGTGTGGAGGGTACTTTACCCTCCCCCAGCAGATGTGGAGGGTACCTTACCCTCCCCAGCAGGTGTGGCAGGCACTGTATCCTCCCTCCAGCAGGTGTGGAGGGTACTGTACCCTCCCCCAGCACGTGTGGCTGCCGGAGCCTCGTTATCAAAACAGACAAAATACGGGAAGCGGGAGAGATAATGTTATCTCATCATGAGCGTTTAATGCTACTAATTCAGGAGACGTCTGGCTCTGATTACTGGGGCACGGTCATGCCCCAGGGGGGGCCTGGCAGCTGAGTGGACAGCGCTTTGGACTCATAGTCCTAAGGTTCCGGATTCGATCCCCGGTGGAGGCGGAAACAAATGGGCAGACTTTCACGCTGATGGGCCTGTTCACCTAGCAGTAAATTAGGTACATGGGAGTTAGACAGCTGGTACGGGCTGCTTTCTGAGGATGTGTAACAAAAAAAAGGAGGCCTGGTCGAGGACCGGGCCGCGGGGACGCTAAGCCCCGAAATCATCGCCAGGTAAGCGAAATGTACATACTAGAAAATGACAGCGGTTGCGAAATTGACATACTCTCCCGTTTTCTATTCGTGGGTTCTCTGGCTGGTTAGGATAGGGGCACTTTAGTACGCCCCCAGGGAGCTCTGTCGTGCATGTCAGCCCCCAGGGAGCCCTGTCGTGCATGTTAGCCCCCAGGGAGCCCTGTCGTGCATGTCAGCCCCCAGGGAGCCCTGTCGTGCATGTTAGCCCCCAGGGAGCTCTGTCGTGCATGTTAGCCCCCAGGGAGCCTTGCCGTGCATGTTAGCCCCCAGGGAGCCCTGTCGTGCATGTTAGCCCCCAGGGAGCCCTGTCGTGCATGTTAGCCCCCAGGGAGCCCTGTCGTGCATGTTAGCCCCCAGGGAGCCCTGTCGTGCATGTTAGCCCCCAGGGAGCCCTGTCGTGCATGTTAGCCCCCAGGGAGCCCTGTCGTGCATGTTAGCCCCCAGGGAGCCTTGCCGTGCATGTTAGCCCCCAGGGAGCCCTGTCGTGCATGTTAGCCCCCAGGGAGCCCTGTCGTGCATGTTAGCCCCCAGGGAGCCCTGTCGTGCATGTTAGCCCCCAGGGAGCCCTGTCGTGCATGTTAGCCCCCAGGGAGCCCTGTCGTGCATGTTAGCCCCCAGGGAGCCTTGTCGTGCATGCTCTTATGAGTCCAAACACACATGAACTGAAAACCTCTCGAGACACAATAAAAAATGGACCGAAGCAGAATTGAGCGGAGGAAAAGTCAGCACAGAGAGAGAGAGAGAGAGAGAGAGAGAGAGAGAGAGAGAGAGAGAGAGAGAGAGAGAGAGAGAGAGAGAGAGAGAGAGAGAGAGAGAGAGAGAGAGAGAGAGACAGACAGAGAGAGAGAGACAGACAGAGACAGACAGAGAGAGAGAGAGACAGAGACATTACCTGAGGGTGTGGTGGAGGGGAGGTGGGGCCCAGGGAGGCGCCGGGAGACCCGCTGGTGCTGCTGGAGGGTCGAGGTTCCTCTGGTGACCCGGGGTCCTCGGCGTTACGTACCTGGGGAGAGACAACCTGCCATTATTAACATGTTAACACCACTAAGATGCCGCCATTATTAACATGTTAACACCACTAAGATGCCGCCATTATTAACATGTTAACACCACTAAGATGCCGCCATTATTAACATGTTAACACCACTAAGCTGCTGCCATTATTAACATGTTAACACCACTAAGCCGCCGCCATTATTAACATGTTAACACCACTAAGCCGCCGCCATTATTAACATGTTAACACCACTAAGCCGCCGCCATTATTAACATGTTAACACCACTAAGCCGCCGCCATTATTAACATGTTAACACCACTAAGCCGCCGCCATGTGGATAAACAAAATAGCGTCATACCTGAGGCGGAAAATTGTTTCCTCGCATATTATGGTCGCTTAAATTTAGAAATTTGAGGCTACTGAGTTTCACAATTATCAATCCAGATCCCAAGTGGCTCTTGGGGTGCCAAGCTGCGCTCAAGTCAGCTGCTGTGCCTGCGTAGGCCAATATATATTGGTGGTTGCTTGGCACTATAGTCACGTGACTCCAAGGGTAAGCTACCAGCCGTGAACAATCAAGTTGAAACGTTTCAAAAATCTATTTATCTACTAAAAGACAATGTAAAATAGACTATTTCTCTTAGCAAACATCAGATAGGCCTACAGACTGATAATACTTTCTGGCTTCTCTACGAGTGAGTGTTATTTCTGTGTTCATTGACACCCAATATTATCTCCACCCACCATTATTTCCACCCACCATTACCTCCACTCACCATTACCTCCACCCAACCTCCAACAATATTAGTAGCTATAATTATTATAGGCAGAATGCACAAAATCTGTGCAGTTGAACAAAAAAGCCTCCGTTATGTACTATCGGAATTCTTAAGAGTTTTATAAAAGCGAAAGCATATTATCCAATTTGTCATAACCTTGCTTGATACCTGCTTGATGGGGTTCTGGGAGTTCTTCTACTCCCCAAGCCCGGCCCGAGGCCAGGCTCGACTCGCTCGACAATTCCTTAAAAAAAAAAATTAGTCCTAGGACCATTTATATGTAACCTTAGGACTAATTGGCACATATATGTGCTCTACTAGGCCTAGAGAAAGGCCCGGGTGTTGTCTTAATAATCAGTCAGGTCTGTCACCAAATGGTACAAATGGAATTGATTTTGGGTGGAAGATCGTGTATTTCTACATTCCTCTCTCGGTAACTGTGTGGAGTATAATGTTTGGATTGGTCAGAGGCGTCATGTGATGAGGTGAGAGACGTCATGTGATGAGGTCAGAGGTGTCATGTGATGAGGTCAGAGGTGTCATGTGATGAGGTCAGAGACGCCATGTGATAAGATCAGAGACGCCATGTGATGAGGTCAGAGACGTCATGTGATGAGGTCAGAGACGTCATGTGATGAGGTCACAGACGTCATGTGATGAGGTCAGAGACGCCATGTGATAAGATCAGAGACGTCATGTGATGAGGTCAGAGACGCCATGTGATAAGGTCAGAGACGTCATTGATGAGGTCAGAGACGTCATGTGATGAGGTCAGAGACGTCATGTGATGACCACCTAGCATGTCGCCGGCCCACAACATAAAACACTCACGCTAAATAAACAAACATGTCCAAGAACCATCCTGATGCTCACATTTGAGGTGGTCACCCATCCTGTAGAGCGCCCCGTCCAGCGTCACACTGACGTTCAATTCCAGTTACAGCCCTGAATATTGACATAAAAAACGGGCGTCGGTGGGGGGTAAATGTTAATTTATGCTTCCATGACCTCCTGTCACACCAGAGAGAGGGACAGGTGACGGAAAGCCCTTGTCTTGGCCCGCACCAGCCCCTTGTCTTGGCCAGCACCAGCCCCTTGTCTTGGGCCGCACCAGCCCCTTGTCTTGGCCAGCACCAGCCCCTTGTCTTGGGCCGCAGCGGCCCCTTGTCTTGGCCAGCACCAGCCCCTTGTCTTGGGCCGCACCAGCCCCTTGTCTTGGCCAGCACCAGCCCCTTGTCTTGGGCCGCAGCGGCCCCTTATTCCCTGCCCAAGAGACGCCCCATGCCCTTCTTCTTCACCACTCTAAGAGAAGAGGGGGATATGATCTCAACATACAAGATACTGAAGGGAATACACAAGATTAAACTCTTTAACCCGAGAGAAAGTAGTGGAAGAGGCCATAAATGGCAACTGGGGAGAAGCAAATGTAAGCACAGCGGACTTTATAGTCTGTCTGCTGTGATGCCCGGTTGCTCGGTCCCCTGTTACCTTATAGTCTCCCCTACACATATTTTAACATCTTTAGATTTCGTTTTCTTTATTTCACAAGTTTATATGATTCCAGGAAGGCGAGTAAATGGATTCATGCCCGTGGGTGGGGTGAGTGAGTGAGTGAGGCGTGCCGCTAAGGTCAGTGAGTGAGTGAGTGAGTGAAATGAGTGAGTGAGTGAGTGAGTGAGGCGTGCCGCTAAGAAGGTGAGTGAGTGAGTGAGTGAGTGAGTGAGTGAGTGAGTGAGGCTGTTCTTCCACCAGCCCGTCCTCCTAAGCTTTCCAACTTCAAGACAACGGTCAATTTAAATGAATAAATCCACAAGGGCCGTGATGAGGGTTCGAACCTTCCTCACGGCCCTTGTGGAATTATTCACTTGATATATCACGCTACTGTGATTTCTGTGTGTATGGTCAATTTAAAGTGTCCTCTCCTAGACTACCAGACTGAGCCAGAGGACCCAAAACAGAAAACGGGTCATTACGTCACTTTCGCCAGCCGCTTCCATTTTCTAGTGCGGCAATTTTTAGTCTGAATAACGCATACGATCGAAAAGCGACGTTCTTTCTAGGAGGACAGGTTGTAGAAGGCCAGGTTGTAGGAGGACAGGAAGTAGGACAGGCTGTAGGAAGACAGGCTGTAGGAGGACAGGCTGTAGGAGGACAGGTTGTAGGAGGACAGATTGAAGCAGGACAGGTAGTAGAAGGACAGGTTGTAGGAGGACAGGTTGTAGGAGGACAGGTTGTAGGAGGACAGGTTACAGCAGGACAGGCTGTAGCAGGCCAGGTTACACCAGGTGTTACCTATCGTACGTTACGGCTCGTGATCCTACAGCAGCCAAACTTTAATAAGTCTAGGGATACGACACAACTGCTGTTCTCAATAGCGAATCACCAGTATAACCCCTTGAATTGGTAATGAGCATAAATAAGAATCTTCATTTAGGACTGAAGAATAGATACACAATATGATAGCTATATATTCAAAACAGTATAATATAAAAACACAGATGGTAAAGTTAACTTATAGAATATGATTGTATAGTCATGTCACAATATATATAATAGTAATTATGGCAACAAATGAATAATAACAGACTTATCTCCCACTTGTTACTCCTCCTAGTTCCCCGAAGCTACTGAACTCTCGCTCTGTCGCCACCCACATTCTCACCTCCCGTCTGCCTCATCCCAGGATGAGGGATGGAAACTAAGGACTTTTTAATATTATAAACTAATTGAACAACCACTTGTTCTCAAAACACATAAGACTGCAAGTTACATATAATAGTTACTTACAAAATATATAAGTACAATGACACCTGTTTAATTACAGTATATAAACATTTCCTAACTAAAATAAAGTGACATCTGGAACTCTCAAACTGAACAGGTCCAGCTTTCCCGTATCAAACAAGTAATAGACGTGTGCAGAGACAACCGCTCTCCTGTCCACTGACGCTGCCAAACCACACGACAATTTACCCAAAACACAATGTGTGTACATATACATGCAATGATAAAATAAAATAATATTTATTTTAAATTTATATACGTATTCTGCTAGGAGTACGTAACACTTCCACCTCCAAGAAAAAAAAAAATGCAATGGATTGAAGATCAATGGCATTTTTTCAAAGTAAAAGGTATGACACTTGAGATTTATGGTATTAATTACACCAAACATGTATAAGTAATAAGAACACATTTCTGGACAAAAATGAAAACACTCCAAATATAGTCTTACAGGAAACTCAGAAATTTCAGTCTTATGACTATGTTCTACATATGTGTCACTGGAGTATGCAAATTTATCTCTCCAAGGTACTATCTCATTTATTTCACTTTGTTTTAGATCATATTTCACACACCTATCTACAACAGTATCATTAGTAGCATGGATAGAATTGTCAATAAAGGTAGCTGCTTTCACACAGTTATCATGGCAATTTAGTTTTTCATATGTTTCTACTATTTCTCCAAGATCAGTTTCTTTTTCCATGTGATTCCTTTTCCACATGGTGAATTTTCCCAAGACAGCCTCGATTTTCCATTACTCCCTTTTTCTGGAGCTGAACTGCTTAATTGAAGCAGGCTGTATGTTGAGTTGAGTTGGGACTTCTCCTGGGTATGCTCTGACACAGACATCTGCTCATCATCACTCTTGATCCTCTGTGGAACACATACTCTCGCCCAATGGATACTAAAATTAGAGAAAGTAGCATTAAACCTCACAATTATGCATAAGACTTTCCCATTCATAGAACCTTCCGAAACACAAGACACCGACTTATCAAACCTTTGACCTTCCAACCAAGAAATACAACCCAAGATAAGTGCAAAGACTACCTGATCGAACTGACTCAGATGATCCATAAGGAACACAGAAATCAATTGCCTCATAACTCTGTCATAACGATCAGTGAAAGAAAACAGGCATATGCCTAGGCACCATATCTCAATCATAACTCTCAAGACAAGTTCACACCCTCTGATGGTGAACTTGAACACAACACACACATTCATCAACCGTCTAGTCTTCCAAGAGACTAAATAAAACATGCCGAAAACTTTACAACCCTCACCATCACTTCCCAAGTGATTTACGTCTGATGACAACCAATCAACCAAGAGGTTTAAGGGTCTTAACATCTTGAAGATGAACAGCAGATTACCTGGGAAACGCCCAAGGACAATCTGAAACCCTTCACAATGATTAACTCTAGGTAGGATAACCT